CACCTGGGCTAGAATTCAGGTGAGAACGTCCGGCTCCTCTTGACCCTGCGGACTGTGTGGCCAAGCCATGATCTCAGACCTGTGATGTCCCTTCTCTGAGATTCAGTTTCTCCATCTGTACATTGGGGGTGCGATGACACCTAGCTCTGGGGCTGGCGCTGTTGGTTTTTGTTGCCATTATCCACCGTGTCAGACTGTCCACTTAGTGGACTTCCACTTCCACGCCCTGCTGAGGTGGGCCTGGATCAGTTCGAACCACTGACTTTTGGGCTAGCTACCATTGTTGGTAGATGCTATCAAGTCAAACTCACCTCATAGCAGCCCCGTAAACAACAGACCCGAGCCCTGTCCTGTCCTGGGCTGTCCTCACCGTCTCTGACACACTCAAGCCCATTGCTGTAGTCACTGTATCAACCCACCCGGCTGGGGGTCTTCCTCTGATGTCCCTCTCCAAGGAATAGCCTCTCCTGGCAACATGCTCAAAGTATGTGAGACGAAGCTTTATCATCTTTGCCTTCAAAGAGCACTTAGACTGCACCATCTCCAAGATATAATGTTTGTTCTTTTGTCAGTCCATGGGGTATTCAGTACTCTTCTCTGATACCAGAACTCAAAGGCATCAATTCTTCCTTCTTCTGGCATCCTAATTCACTGTCCGGCTTTCAGATGCACAGCATGATTGAAAAGGCAATGGCCTGAATCAGGCACACCTTAATCCTCAAACTGACATCGTTGCTCCTCAGTAACTTGAAGAGTTCTCTGACTGCAGACTTTGCCAATGTAATATGTTTCCTGATGTCCTGATGGCTGGCAGTCCAATGCTTAAGCACGTGAGCAGTTCAGCCAGGGCCTCCTGGCTGTTGGGAGGACAAACAGGCTTGTCTGGGGCTGAGCAATTGCTCCTTGCTGATAAGCGTGGCCAACACTGCGGCAAGTGGAATCAGAGCTTTAGACTCGAGGCCACCAGGCCCAGTGCACAGAGTGGAAGCTGAAGCCCTAAGAAGGCTGTTGACTTGTCCTCAAGTCTCACATCATTTCAGGGGCGGAGGGGGGGGGGGTGGTTTACTCAGGTTTGGCTCCTGTGACCTGGGGCAGGTGAAGGGCTGCTGATAGAATTCTTGTTGAGCCGTGTTAGAGAGGAAGGAGCCTCTGAACGGATCAAGCCCCAGAGGTGTCAATCGGCCCGCACTGGTCCAGCCCCGCCTCTGCCCTGAGTGCCGGACGCCAGCCCCACTCCCACAGACAGTTGGCCTCGTGGCCACCAGAAGGCGCCCGAGAGTCAGGCCCGTCCCTCCTTTGTGCACAGCCCTCCAGGGCGCCCACCTCCCTGGGGTAAAAGGCCAGGTCCTTCCGTGGCCCAAAGTGTCCTGTCCTTGCCCTCCTCTCCTCCTCTCGCCCTAGCTCACTCTTCTCCAGCCACACGGGCCTCCTCGCCGTGCCTCCCACACAGCAGGCATGGTCTTGTCCCTTCCTGGTTCTTGCACAGGGACGCCCTCCCCCCCTTCCTTTGCATCTCAGCATCAGGACCACCTGCTCAGAGAAGCCCTCCCTGATTAGCCTCCTGGGTCACCTCGCCCTGCTTGCTTCTTCAGAAGCTTCTTCTTTTTCTAAAATTCTTGCTTCCTTATTTAGTTCATAGCTGCTTTGGAGTCCTCCCCCACCACGCACCCCCCGAATAAAACAAGAATGGGGACTGAGGGCCCCTGTCTGAAGTGCTGCTGGACCTCCATACCCCAAGTGGCCCCTGGCACACAGTAGGCTCGATAAATGTTCTACTCAATAAATGTTGATCAAATGAAAAAGGACCAGTTTATTGCAGCTGCCTTTTTACAATCGGCAGCTGGTTCCCTGAAAGGTTGGCAGTTCAAACCCAGCTAACAGCACCATGAAGGGCTGACAATCTAATTCCACAAAACTTACAATTAAGAAAACCCTAGAGAGGAGTTCTTCTCCCCAGGAAGAATCTGATCTCAGACTTCCTGCCCCAGGTTTCACTTCACTGAGGCTCAGCGCAGAGCATAGGTGAGATCCAGTCAGTGAGGAATTAGCCAGTAGGCATGACTGCCCACATGAGTCATGGCGGTCACCCAGCAAGGAGGAAAGGGCAGGAAAATCAGTGTGTGAATAAAGCTTCCGGTCAGGGGCCACACCTCACAGTCACGAGTCACAGGTCCTGGTCAGAGGAACCCAAAAGTCCCAGTCAGAGAGACCACAGCTCCCAATTGGGGGCCACAGCTCCTAACCAAAGGGACCCACAGGTCCTAGTCGGCAGAGGGCACAGCTCCTGGCCAGGGGTGCCCCATGGCTCCTGGTCAGAGGTCCTGGATCACTTTAACTATTGCACCACTAGAGCTCACCTTTTAGGGATTAAGATGTCTATTGGGCGTTGCAGATGACGATGCCTCCGTGACACTCCCGTCCGCTCCTCTCCTGCCCAGCCTCAGTCAATCCCACCATGTACTTGAACATCGCCACCGATGGCAAACCTTTAGTCCACATCTCCTTCGAGCTGTTTACAAATAAAGTCCCAAAGACAGCAGAAAACGTCTACACTGAGTACTGGGGAGAAAGGAGTTGGTTACAAGGGTTCCTGCCTTCACAGAATCCATCCTTCCTGGTTTATGGGCTGGAGTGGAGACTTCACATGTCATGTTGGTACTGGTGGCAAGTCCGTCTATGGGGAGAAGTTTGACAATGACAACTTCATCCTGAAGCACTCAGGTCCTGGCCTCCTGTCCATGGCAAATGCTGGTCCCAATACAAATGGTCCCCAGTTTTTCATCTGTACTAGGACTGAATGGTTGGATGGCCAGCATGGAGTCTCCAGCAAGGTCACTGTGGAAGCCATGGTGCGCCTCAGGTCCAGGAAGGCAAGACCAGCAAGATCACCACTGCTGACTGGACAGCTCTGATGTGACCTGTAGTTCATGTTTTCTCTGAATCACCAGACCAGTCCTTCTACAGCTCCACAGGCCACCCTGTCACGCAGTGTGCCTGTTGTTGTTGTTGTTGTTAAGTGTCATCGAGTCGTTTGCAACTCATAGCGACCCTATGTCCAAGAGCCCTAAATGCCGTTCTATCCTGTGTCAACCTCGCCGTCTCAAACACATTCATTCCCACCTCTCTAGTCACAAAATCAATCCATCTCATCGAGGGTCTTCCTCTCCTGTGCCATCCCTCCACTCTCCCAAACATGATGTCCCTCTCCAAGGACCAGTCCCTCCTTGCAACATGCCCAAAGTATGTCAGACGAAGCTTCAGAATCCTGGACTCCAGGGAACATTCTGGCTTCACCCTCTCCAGGACAAACCTGTTTGTTCTCCTAGCAGTCCATGGTATATTCAACACTCTTCTCCAGCACCACAGCACAAAGGCATCAATTCTATCATCCCTATTCACTGTCCAGCTCTCCGATGCATAGCACGTATGGGATCTTTAATCTTGGTGCTCTTGCTACAGTTCTTTCCTCACTTCCAAGTTTAGCAGGGTTGCAGAGTTAAGTTTGACTATGAAATAAAAACTAGACCAAAACCAAAAGTACTAAGAATTGACACATACTGGGGGCTGCTCCATTCATGTTGTCACACAAGTATTTGTTTCTCGTTTTGGTGCCATCCACTTTCTAATCAGGGTGATCCCACGTGACAGAACGGCCCTGTGGGGTTTCCTCAGGATGGTAACGGCGACGTGTGTGTGAACGCCCATGATCTGCTGAGGACACGGGACCCAGCAGAACCAGTTGGAGGAGTGGACTCTGGCTAGTTGCAGGACAATTATGGGGAGCTGTGGGCCAGCTGGGTCTAGAAGGTGCTGGGGGAGCCACAGTGCACGGTGGCTAAGATGTCGCTGGAGGAACCTGAGTGGCTGGGGAACCGCCTGGCGAGGACAGCAGCCCCTGGGTAGGGCGGGATGTCAGGAGCACGGGGGGGCTGGCCCCTGTGGTGATGCAGGTCCTCCTGCAGGATTCATGGAGCACGAGGATGCTAACTTCATCACCTGTGGGGGACACCTGGCAAATTCTTACCATAGTCTCCACTCACCCAGACGTCATCCTCTGCACTTTAGCGATGACATGGTCAAGGGTAAAGGTGTGCATGCGGTAAGGTGACGGTGTCCCCCCGTTTAGGTAAGCAGCGCCCCACTACCTTGTACTCAAGTGTACCCCTGACCTTCATGGTGATACCTCAGGAATCAGGCCACCCTAAAAATCCAGTGGCTGACTTTGTAAAGGTGAATTACAAGCTTTCTCTTGAGACACCTGTGGGTGGGCTCAAAACTACTAACTGTCTGGTTAACACTCTTTGGAACACAGACCCGTACCATTTTTCAGATGAAAAAACTGAGGCTCAGAGGCAGCTTTCATGGTGGATTCCCCAAAGTACCTCCCCAGAAAGGCTGACCTCAAAGGTAAAGAATTGGGCCCGAACTATTCAGTCCGCCTCTGACTACAGAATGTAGGGCCCGGGTCGCCTGGACTACATTTCCCAGATGCCCTTGCGGCCGAACAGGTACCCACGTGACTAACTCCTGACCAATGGGATGAGCGTACACAGTAGGAACTTCCATTTCCTGCCTGTTAGGGAGACTTGTTTCCTCCAGCTATCAAATGTTTTTTAACTTACAAATAGTGGAGTCCAAGCCCTCCCCAAGACAATGTCACCGGAGAACCATTTAATAAATATTTATCGTACTTAATAGGCGGTAGCAATGTCCCTAGGCCCTCTTCTCCAAAGACCCTCCACCCCCCAAGCGATCTGTGACCACCACGTGTCATTCTGGCATTTCTGAAGGTTATGAGGTCCTCAGTTATTTTTGCACTACTTCCTGAGCCATTATTCTAATAACCCCACCCCCTCGCCGTCCTCCCAAGGAGTGAGGGCACAGGAATGAGAGGGGGTGTGGTAAATGGGGAATGTCTCAGATGCCCAATGTCCATGGACATAAGAGTGTTCACAAGTTCGTGTCCTCAGAGACTGAGGTCATCAAGCCTGGTCAGTTGGTCATTCTGCTTCCTGGGTGTTGTCCTCGGAGGGCTGGGCCCCCCTCTGCCCCCACATGTGGTTGTTGAGCCCCAGCTGGACCATCTGTGCATGGTGGATAATGAGGGGCTGCAGCCCCGGGCTTTGGGGAGAGAGAGGGGTGGCCGGCGGGAAGGCAGGGGGTGGTGGGAAGGCTGGTGGGGCAGTCCCAGCCGGCCATGGAGAGTGGGGCGGCTGAAGGCTGTCCCGCCCCTGCCCACCGGGCAGCTGAGGGCTGTCCAGCCAGGTGGGCAGGGGCGGCTGAGGGCTGTCTGGCCAGGTGGGCAGGGGTGGCTGAGGGCTGTGCGGCCAGGTGGGCAGGGGTGGCTGAGGACTAACTGGCCAGGTGGGCAGGGGTGGTTGGACGCTGAGGGGCACCTGCCCTATGGGAGGCATCTGCATCCCTAATGACATCTGGGTCCTGAAAGCCACCTGTAGCTGCTGCACCTGCACCTGCCAGGCCAGGTAGCTCTGCAGGTAAGTGGAGTAGGCGGAGTGCAGCTCGGCAGCCTGCTGTCGCTGGCCCTCCAGGCGCTGGCTCCGCTCCCGGAAAGCCCGGGCCTCCTGCTCCCTTGTCCAGTGGGCCTTGCGCACCTGCAGCTTCTGCTTCTTGAAGGTGTTCCTCACCTTCCTTTCGAAGATCTGGGAGTGCTCGTCCAAGCACACGAGGCTGGTGAGCAGGCGGGCGGTGTCGGAGCTGAGCTCGGACGTCTCCAGGGGCTGGAAGGGGATGACCGAGTCCTGCCAGGCCTGCCGTCGGAAGCTGTGGAGCAGGGCCTGGCTCACCTGGTGCAGGCTCAGGCGGCAGTCGAAGTTGGGAGTGAGGAGCAAGATGGTGAAAGCCGAGTGATCAATAGCGTCCTGCAGGCAGCTCAGCTGGCCGCGCCCGGGCACCTGGAAGTCCTCGCAGAAAGTGGCCCCGTCGGACACACCCAGGGCCTCCAGCCGCTCCCGGACCCGCAGGGCCACATGCTCATCTGCCCTGGCGTGGAGGACCACGAAGTTATAGAACTTCTGCTCCAGCGATTCCAGCTCCAGTTCAGGGCACGGGAGATCTGAGGACGAGGAGGTGGAGGGAGGCTGGCAGGGGGATGCTGCTCCAGGAGGAGAGGGAGGTGACGTCTGGAGCCCCGAGGGAGAGGACGACCGGGGCACTGAAGGAGGGGATATCTGGGGCCCCAAGGGAGGGGACATCTGGGGGATCGAGGGAGGAGGTGGGCACATCTTGCTTTTCTGCGAAGCAGTATCTTCTATGGACAGTGGGGGTGTCACCCCATCTTTGGGGGTCTGATCAGTCGGCTTTGAAATGAGAGAGGAGAGAGTCTGGGTGGAAGAGGGGAGAGATGTTGGGATGGTGGACTCAGTACACTCCACTGGGTAGTGGGGTCTGGACTCTTGGGGTTTTGAGGGGTCAGGGAGGCCAGCTGGGCTTGGATCTGGGGCCACCCCTGACAGCTGGAGGGCTGGACTAGGTGATGAATCCTGAAGAGGGTCAGTGTCCAAGGACGGAGGCCAGCTCACCTGCTCTGGCTCCTGGTGACCCGGGGGAGCAGGCTGGGGCTCTGGGCTGGCTGGGGGCTGATCACAGAGATTGCTGGGTCCCGGGGGGCTTCGAGGCTGGGTGAGGAGGGCCAAAGTGGGAGATTGGCTGATCTCTAGGTTGCTGGCCAGCGAAGCCGGGCTGCCAGTAGAACGCAGCGTGCAAGCCCGGCTCCAGCCCGGGGGAACTTGGATGGGCTGCGGAGAGCTCCGGGCCCCAGAGTGTGACCCTGCGGAAAGCAGGAGGCCCCCAGATCTAGAGCACAGGCCGTGGAAGCTCCCTAGGTCGCCAACGTCCCACCCGCAGTGGTCACGGGCCTCAGCCTGAAGCTCTGACAGCCGGGGGTCATCAGCAGAGAAGGCTTGGAGGGCAGTATGGTAGGCTGCCTCCTGCAGGGAAGCAGAGCACAGCTTCTCCTCAGCCAGCAGGTGGTACATGCGGGCAACTGTCCAGGCCACCTCTGGCTCCTCCTCAGGGGCCTCCTCTGGGAAGTCCACGCCAGCCCATCTGCAGGCCACACAGCGGGCCGTTGCGTCTGTGCGCAGCGCATCCAGGGCGCACCGGGCCTCAGTGTCACGGCCTAGCGTCAGCAGCACCATGGCCCGCAGCAGGCCGGTGCCCCGGGGGCTGGAGGGCAGTGCCTTCAGCTTGTGCTTCAGCTGCAGCAGCTTGTCGTGGCCCACGGTGCCTAGGATGTCCAAGATGCCAGCAAGCGAGATTTCGCTGCAGGCCATGTGCACGGCTGGGGGTGGCCTCCAGGGACGGGAGAAGCAGGGAGTGGCCGAGGCATGTTCCACCCCCCGACTCCAGCGTTAATGGGGTTCTCCTATGCGTTCAGCGCTTGAGGTTCTGGGTCTCCCAGGGCAGACCTGAGGGAGAAGAGGACACAGTTACGTCCAGAATGAGGCAGTGTCAGCCTCCTCCATACACCACCTTGTCCAAGCAGGGTGACCTCCCTGGACACATGTCACCTCCGCCAACTTTCACATCCTTCTCTGCAAAAGGACAGCTGCTAACATTGACCAGTCAGTCCGTAGAGGGCAGAAATCATTATGCCTGAGACTTCTAGGGCTTATAAATCAGTCTTCAGAGGCCGCTTAGAGGAAAGCCTCGTCATCTGTTCCCAAAAGTTCAAAGTCATTGCAAACCAACAGGTCCTGGGGCCTCAGGACCACAGACTCAGGAACATCAAAGTCAATCGCAATAACAACCCATAAAAGGCAATCTTCTACATCCTTCTTTGGTAAATATTTACTAAAGTCTAAAAAGCTTTTGAGGTCCAACTATTGGTCTCTCTGTGTCCAAAGAAAGGAGGAGGGAAGAAATGCAAAAATACATGGAAGTGATTCGTTCAAAGGACAAACGGATCAAACGAACTTGGGCCCTGAGACCAGAAGAACTAGACAGTGCCCAGCTACTACTGCTGACCCTTCTAAAAGAGATCCCAGAATGGGGTCCTGGACAGAAGGGGCAAAAGGTGTGGTACAAAATCAAAGTCATAAAAAGAGCAGGTTTATTAGTCTGATAGAGACTTGTGGAACCCTGGATACTGTGACCTTTCAAGTCTGGAACTGAACTCACCCTCCAGAGCTCAACTTCCAGCCAAATAATAAGACTCCAAAGTGGATACTCTCAACCAGAGAAGTACTTGCTCCTCAGAACAGTCAACTACACAAGAATAAAATGGCCGTGCTTGCCCAGGAAAAAAAAATCTCAGATGCAGGGATGGATAGGAAAGATGGAAGAATGGAAATGAGAATCACAGGGAGGAGGTAGGAGGAGTGATGTTAACAAAATAAGGATTGTAATCAGTGTTGTAAAACAACACCTGTAAGACTGTCTATGAACTTTGATAAATGTTAATAGTTGTAGGAGCTTCAAGCCTTTTGTTCATAGGGTCGCTATGACTTGTGCTCGACTCGAAGGCAATCAACAAGAAGACTGGCTGAATGGAAAACCTATTCGCCTTGTAAACTTTCACCCAGATCATAGAAAAATGTTAACGTCTTTTGAAGTAGGAAAACCAACCAACCAACAAACCCTAAGGGCCAATTCTACTGTGCACATAAGAGTCTTCACAAGTCGGACTCTCCTTCATGGCAAACTAACAATGGTGGCAATATTTACCTCCACTACCCCCAGAAAAGAGATTGGTAATGGCTATAGCAAGAGGCTTGAAAGGAACGGAGATTGTGAGGAAGGCACAGCATTGACGTGGAGTTTATCTTCTTATATGACTTTCCTCGCCACTGAATTTGACTTTGCCTTGTGGATTGGCTGGAATGTGCAAAGAGGCTGTGTTTACCTATCCACAAGGGGATTGGCTGGTCTCACGAAGACACAAGGGGATTGGCTGGTCTCACGAAGACAAGGGGATTGGCTGGTCTCACGAAGACACAAGGGGACTGGCTGGTCTCACAAAGACACAAGGGGACTGGCTGGTTTCACCATAACACAAGGGGATTGGCTGTTCTCACCAAGTCACAAGGGGATTGGCTGGTTTCACCAAGTCACAAGGGGATTGGCTGGTCTCACCGAGACACACGGGACTGGCTAGTCTCACTGAGCCACAAAGGCACTGGCTGGTCTCACAAAGACACAAGGGGACTGGCTGGTCTCACCGAGACACAAGGGGATTGGCTGGTCTCACCGAGACACAAGGGGATTGGCTGGTCTCACCGAGTCACAAGGGGATGGGCTGGTCTCACCGAGTCACAAGGGGACGGGCTGGTCTCACCGAGTCACAAGG